ATGGTTAACATGGCGGTCATAACAGGAAAAACCCAGAACTATACCTTGAAAATTTTTTCCGTGACACCAGCCGGCAGAGTCGATGACGTCACTTCATATACCACGTGTCATTCCAGCGACCAAGACGTCGTCAAGGTGATGATGATGATGATGATAATGGTGATGATGATGATGGTTACGATGGTGATGATGATGATGGTTATGGCGATGATGATGGTTATGGCGATGATAAAATGAACTCTTTTGTTCGTACACCTACAGCCAACAGCTCACAATTTTGTGTACTTACCTCAATTTTGTATACACGCATAGGTAAAATGTACACACTCACATACAAAATACATGCAAAAAACACCCACGCATACAAACACATACAGAGAAATACACAAACACCCACGCAAAATGTACAACGTGCATACAAAGTGAACGAAGGAATGTACAACCCAATACAACTCTGCCTGGCTCCTCTAGTACGTAGCTACATACAGCAGCAACATTAAAAAAATTCAATAACATCAACAACATCAACAGCAGCGGCATTCATTTATTCATTCGTTTGTTCATCACTCATTCATTTTTTCATCCATTCATCTATCTTGTCATTCACTTGTTCACTCACTCATTCGTTCATTCATTCATTCATTCATACATACATACATTCATTCATACATACATTCATTTATTAAAGTAAAAAAATATTCTGCATATGTTATGTACGTACGTGTAGATGACGATACTTTATAAACTAGCTTCACGCACACACATACACACACAGACACACACACATACAAACACACACAAACACAAACAAGCACACAAATACAAACACACACACATACATACATATAGACACAGGCACACATACAGGGTTGATAATTTCGAATCGCGTGCCAAACTTTAAAAACAAACTTAGTGTTTCGAGCAGCTCTAAAACAAAACTGGAACTTGAAAAATGAGAGAGAGGGAAAAAAGAAAGAGAAAGAGAGAGAGAGAGAGAGAGAGAGAGAGAGAGAGAGAGAAACAATCAATTAAGAAGATGATATGATGACAAAAAACAACAAAAAAGACAAGAAAATAAAACAAATGTTTACATTTTACAAATTAATTCCTTCAACAATTTGCCAAAATTAGAGTTACAGCACTTCAAGCCAGGAAGTTTGTGAACGTTAAAAAGTAACGAACCTTTATTTATTATTCGCAAAATGGTATTTCGTGTATCATAAGGGGTTATAATATTTTAATAATAATAATAATAAATATAAATTATAATATATTTATAATATAATGTTTTATATATAAGGGGTTATGATATATTTTTTAAAATGGCAAAAAAATGACACGTTAACTTAGAAATAATTATTTTGTGATGAAAAAATGTTTTTTTTCATAAAACTTTTGTATTTTTTCATTTTTTTATCATTTTTCATAACAGCGCTTTCATTTAGTCTAACATTAGTGATCTAATGGAGGAATGAATGAATGAATGAATGAATGAATGAATGAATGAATGAATGAATGAATGAATGAATGAATGAATGAATGAATGAATGAATATTTTTTTGGTGCTTCATTTTTCTTTGTAGTTTTGCAGGATGTACTTTCGTGATGAATGGACGGATTTATGAATGCTGGCCGGAAGTTGTAAATGAATAAAAATGGGTCTTTTTTAGCTAATGGCTGATGGACGGATGGATTAAAGGATTAATTGGATGAATAAATGACTGACGTTAACAGGGGGAATGTATTAATAATTGAATGAAAAAGTAATTTGATGGTTGGAAGAATCACTAAAAGAATGAATGATACATTTATCACTAATCCATTCATCCTTCCATCCATTCATTTATTCACCCATAAATTCATTCATCTATTCATCATTCATCCACTCATTCATTTTCGCACTCAATCACTCAGGTAACTGAAACATGTGCCAGAGTTTATCTGGACGGATCTGAGACGAGCTCGCATCACAGCGTCAGTGTCATCACAAAATTCGGCAAGCACACGAAATTCTTATATTTCAGGGTTTGTAGTTGTAATTATTATTATTCTTATTATTATTTTTCTTATTATTATTATTTTTATTATTATTCTTATTCTTATTTTTTAGGTTTGGAGACCAAACATACCCATAACGCTGACGGTTTCTGACAGCATTCTCAACCAGGTTAGAGGCTGGAGGGTCCCGAAAAAAGAGTTTAATAGCGATGATAACAACAATAATAAAGGGTAATTGTTATTATTATTATTATTATTGTTGTTGTTGTTGTTATTATTTTTATCCGATCATTCTTCTTAATATTTGTAAGAGTTAGTATCAGCGCCAGCCAACAGACAAACACACACTCACACACGTACACACACACGCACACACACATACACTCACTCACACACACACACGCGCGCACACACGTGTGTATCAGCCTGTATCTCATACTTTCTTTGCGTGTCAGTTGAGTGTTGCATCGTTATTGTATTGCACTGTTGTTATGTGGTGGGATGTAGCTTTCCCACACTAGCCAATCATATCTCTCCCCACTCTAAAAAAGGAAAAGCCAAACGAACCGGCGGGCCGCCGATTTCGGCATACTATCCGACAAGGAGTCGCCATTTGACGAGAATTACAGCAGCAACGAAGATGTCGAGATTGATAATACCGGTACGGATATCATTATTAATATTCATTACTTATTATTATTATTTTAATTATTATTATTTTTTTATATTATTATTATTATTAGTAGTAGTAGTAGTAGAAGTACAATCATTATCAACAACAACAACGTCATAATCAAAATCTCAGGCTCCGACCTACCATTCCGACACCACAATTCTCAGTCCATCCGTCAGACGAATACTCCACCAGAGCACGGTGGCGGTAGTGGCGGCTCCTATCACCACAGCCACAGTAGCAGCCATCAGCTCATGTCCTGTGAGACTCGTTTCCAATCGGCTGTGGTCGAAGTCTTCGCGACATTTTCGGTACCGCAGGATCAATACCTCGTTAATAACCAAGTTCGGTTCCGAATTACGGACCTGGTGATTGATAGGATCAGTATCGGGAATAGGGGCGTGGCCAGTCTGACCGGAAACATCGTAGAGGGCAGTGCCCCGGGGGTGACAAATGTTCAAGTAGTGGGACGTTTTATTACAAATATATTTTTTAATAATCGAATTTCATTATGACTAAAATCCAAATTGAAGGATGATTTTTTTTCTGTTTTTAGGTTAAGTCTTCAACGGGCTCGTTAATTGGGTCGGTTCAAATCGAGGTTACCACCGACAAGGTCAACATTGAAAGCATAAGGTCAAACGTCATAACTGGATTGTCTCTACAGGTCAGTAGAGTATTATTTCACTGAAGGAGAATTTTTTCGCAGTCCAAGTTATTTGCGATGCTAATGAGAGTGACAAATGCAACAGTGTCACTAAAAGTGTTGGTGATGATGCAGTCTCTTCTTGGAACTAGTGACCTTAGTAATAGTAGTAGATGATTGTAATTATTAATATTAATTATAAATATAATATGCAATAATATTTAAAATATGACAGATTATAATTAACTTCGGTAGGTGTCATCTCATCTCGACCTCCGTGGGGCCATTGTGGCGAGACTGACGAAATCTAGCGAGTTTAAGAAAAAATATCAGGTTGGTAATTAATGGGAACAATCTTTTATTTAGCAATAAAAACAATGAAAATGACAGTACAAATAAAATAAAATAATGAAATAAAATAAAATGTCAAATGCAATAAATAGAGTATTAATCTGAGAAGCTCATCATTCGAATCGAGAGAGTACGACCAGAGTTAATTAGTTTTAAAATTGATTCATTTCACATTAAAAATAATAATGATAATAATGGAAACAATCTTTTATTCAGCAATAAAAAACAATTAAAATGACAGTACAAATGAAATATAATAAAATGCCAAATGCATTAAATAGAGTATTAATCTGAGAAGCTCATCATTCGAACCGATAATAATAATAATAATGGTAATAATAATAACAATAATAATAACTCTACCGTACCCTCAAAATATTTGAAATTAAACCTCGAACCAGGAGGCCACTCTGGAGATGACCTTGAACTACGACGACGGTACCAGTTTACCCCTTCACCACATTCCAGAACGCGACGTGTTATTCACGATCGACGTCCTAGACGATCAGCTGATTGCCGTGAAACACGCCCACCCATTTTATTCCCCGCGATTTTTGGTCCTAAAACCAGGTCAGGGTGACCTAATTAAGCTAACTTTAGAGTCGAGTCCCCACTGTTTCCGTAAGAAACCGCGACTCCTCGCCATAGGACACGTTTATGTAGACGCCGATCTTGCCAATGATGAAGAGGAGGAAGAGTTTGAGGTAGGCGGGGCTTTGAATCATGTCAATCAAACTTTAGAGACTGTGGAGAAGGGTGTGGCCCATATTAATCTCAGTTACGATGGTCTGGTCATCAGTGCCGGTAGTAGAAAAAAATTTTTCTGATTATTTTGTTTTCAATCTAAAAAAAATTGAAATTAGTAAATGACTTATTAGCCAAGTTTTCAAAAATCTCGACCAGGTACAACCCCTAACAGAGAATTCAATCGAAAAATGAACCAAGCCGACGCCAGCAACTCTCCGACCGGCAACCAACAAAGCAAATTTCACCAAACAAACAGCAACAACAACAACAACGGCTACTCACAGCACCCACCGTCACTGCACGCTTCGGCCCTGACTCCACTGGAAATAGGGATGTACACGCTGCTTGCCGTCTTCTGCCTGGCTGTCTTCATATTCATCATCAACTGCGCGTTCTTCATGGCGAAACACAGGCGCAAAAATGATTCGAACTCGCCGCGAAAAAATCTTGCTTCAAACAGGAAATTATCTTCTGGGATCCCTAAAAGGAAAGACGGAACTGTAGCAGCTACAACGGCTGCTGTTGGAGCGGCGGCAAACTGCTCGCCCGACTGGGTCTGGATTGGACGAGAAATTTTGGAGAGGAACGCCATTGATACCGCTTGTCAACGAGCCCTCATGCCCAATGAAAAGTTCAACAACAATAATAACAATAACAACATTAACATCATCAACAACATCAACAATAACATTAATAACGTCGATGGAAGTGACAACAACAACAACAACAACAACAACAACAGCAGTTACAACATGAATGATAACAACAACACGAACGATCTCAACATATACAACAACGACGGCATACGTTGTTTCGGTGAGGCCGGCCTGATCGGCCAGCAGCCAGGCGACAACAACAACTGCAGAAACAACACAACAACATTGCAAAGAAACAGCAACTACAACAACGCACCTCTCTCGACTTCAAGTGCGACGACAACAGCCACAACTAACGTAGCTTCCAACGACAACTCGCCACCGCCACTCACGTCGCCGAGTCCCTTCGCTTCCAAATTCAATCCCAACACGAACCACTACCGAGATTGTTACGATGACGACGACGATGACGTCAACAACGGTGGCCAGGATGACGACGATGACGACGAAGATGTTGATTCAAGTTGCGAGATTGTCAGTAGAGATGAGTTGGAGCCGAGGTTGGTGGATCTGGCGAGGAACTGCAAGAGGTCGAAGCGACGCGTGGTCGACGGCGAAGAAAGCTCTGCCAATCAGAAGAGTCTTAGAACAAAAGTTAAATGCATCAAGAATCCTGTGAGATAGTTTTTTGCACATTTCTGATCAGTTGAAAACTTTTCAAATAAATTTTTTTTTAGAAGCATTCGTTCACAAATTTAAAAATTATTGATGTAACTAAAGAAACCATCTAATTGAAAAAATATTTTTCCCTTCAGGAAAATCGCTTCCAGACACCATCAAGCCAGCCACCATTCATCTTCAACAACAGCATCAACCACATCACCGATATTAACTCCCATCAAATACAACAGCCACAACCAGCCACAACATCGCGAACCACACCTCCCCTATACAACAGCAGCAACAGTAGCCACCACCAGCGATACACTCCTCCTTCACAGCAACACCACTTTCCAAATAACTTAGTCAAACCCCTCTCCCCAAGGCCCTCCCTACCCCATAAATTTCTCTCGAACAAACCCACCACACAGCTAACCAACTCAACCCTAAACGAAAAACAACGTCTTAACAACATCCAGTCGGAAAACATGATGAAAGTTGGAAGCAGTGGCAAGAATGGGCTGGAAAGGGGCTTGAAAAAACCGGAAGGGGATATAGGATATTGTAACAGTGGGTCTTCGGATGTGGAGTGGGACTGTGTGGCCCTCGGAGTACCCCCGGATGAACTTTCGGAATATTTTGACAATCTGAAAGAGTCCATTGCATAAAAAATTATAACTATATACAATTATTTGAATAATATGTATAATTGTATATAATTATTTGAATAATATATATAATTACGTATAATTATTTGAATATTATATCTATATATATTATGTGTATTCCAATATTACAATGGTTTTATTGTCCTATAATATTATTTTGATTGTTTTGTCACTCCGACTAACTTTAAAACAACTATTTACTTATAAATATCTTTTCGTTTTTAAATCTATCGAACGCTGACTTTGCTCATTCACTCATTCATATGTTCGTTCGTTCGTTCATTCATTCAATTAATTCATTAATTCATTCATTCATTCATTCATTCATTCATTCATTCATTCAATGAAGACTCATTTGACAATTTTATTTACCGTGTACCTCGAGTACCCGCGGTGTTCTATTTTAAAACTTTCGTTATTATTGTTATTATTACTTATTATTATTATTGTTATTGTTATTTATATTGTTATCGTTCTTTATGATATTATTTGGTTGGCATTCGTTCGTCTGTCTAATATTATTTTTATCGAAATTGTAAATAAATGAAGGAATGAGTGAGTGAACAAATGCATGAATGAACAAATGATTGAATGAAAGAATGAACAAATGATTGAATGAATGAATGAACAAACAAATGAATGAATGAATAAACAAATGAATGAATGAACAAATGAATGAACAAACGAACGAACGAATAAATAAATTTCATATTGTTCAAAAGTTGACAGTGAAAATAGTTTCTACTAACAAACCCGCAAATGATTATCTGTGTTCTTTTTTCTCATAAAAAAATAATAAAAAAAGAAATTGATGATGATGATGTCATTGGTGCTGATGATGATGGTTATGATGATAATGATGACGTTGAAGAATACTATGACGTCACATCATTGTCAGAAGGGTCTATCTAATTGCGCAACTTGGCATTGTCGAGTGCAACCGATAATAAGCTGTTTGGTATTTATGGTTTTGTATCTTAATGCATGTATGTACGTATGTATGTGTGTATATGTGTGTGTATATGTATTTGTGTATGTATTTATGTCTATGTGCCCACCAAAAGTGTTGATTTTAGCCGGAGGTGATGTTGGTTGGGCGGTAAAAATTCAAAAATTGTTAAAAGTGCTTGGATGGTACGTACAATGTTGGATGGGCAATGGATGTATATATGCGTGTATATGAATGTATATGTATGTTTGTTTGTTTGTATGTGTGTGTGTGTATGTATGTTTGTAAGGATGCATGTTTGTACAGAAAAAACACTTATCTCCTAATGGGCATCCAATGGAAAGACTGGCGTGACGAAACAATATGAAAGTACATGCGACGAGTTGTTGCGTTTCATCGCATTGGTTTCTGTGTATTGTTGCTGATGCTGCTGCTGAGCCTGTTGCTGAGACTGTTGCTGAGACTGTTGCTGAGACTGTTGCTAAGACTGTTGCTGAGACTGTTGCTGAGACTGTTTCTGTTGTTGCTGTTGTTGTTGTTGCTGGTGTGCTTTTTTCTTTTATTCCATTTCACAAATTTAACCAGTGTAGACCGATTGAATTGAATCATAAAATAAGAAAAACAACGTGTGTGTGTGTGTGTGCGCGCATGTATGTGTGTATGTATGTATGTGTGTATGTATGTGTGTATGTATGTGTGTATGTATGTGTGTATGTATGTGTGTATGTATGTGTGTTTTTCTTCTGTTCATTCTTCTTTTGTATTGACAGAAAGAAAGTATGAAAATCGTGATGAAGCGTGTGTAATATGATTGACGTAATTGGCCAGCGTGTGGAAGGTTGTGTGCACGTGTGTGTGTGTGTGTTTGTTTGTGTGTCTCTGTGTGTGTTTGTGTGTGTTTGTGTGTCTCTGTGTGTGTGTTTGTGTGTCTCTGTGTTCATGTAATTTTTGTCTAGATTATTAGTTTGACATTCTAAAAATAATAAAATAAAACCGATAACTAAGATGTTAGTAATAATAAAAACGAATTAAAATCCGAAATCGGAGCACCTGATTGGTCAGAAGCCAGCACTTGCCGGCCAATGAGCGCCGAGATTTCAACGTGCACTGACCAATAACAGGTTGCTTATAAGCAGGTGTTCCCGCCTTTTTATTAAAAACACCTGTGAGTGAGTATATATAATGGAGGAAGTTTAGGTAAAATAGAATTTACTTTTAAATTTTGCGAAATTAAACATAAATAAATAAAAAATTATACATAATGATCGATTAAAGTTCAATTTAAATTAAAATATAATATATTTTGAATGAAGAAAATATTTGTGCTTATAATTTTTTTATCCGCTTATATCATCATCATCATGATCATCGTCGTCGTCGTCATCATCATGATCATCGTTATCATCATCCTCATCATTAGATAACATTCCGAAATAGCAGCAAAGCGGAAATAGATGACCATCTGTCATGTGACTTACATCGACGATGACGTCATTCTTTTTGTTAGGTTGATGATGATTGTGAGGATGATGACGTAAAAAAAAACTCAATCTTTACAGATTTCATAGTAAGGGTACCAAAACATTGTAGAAACAATAATTAATCATTAATGTAATTATTTTAATTTTAATAATGTTGTATCCAGAGATATTTTTGGTGCCTTTAACATCAAACATAGATGTCAAAAGGTTTGTATGCTTGTTTGTTGTGTGCATGTTTGTATGTATACGAATGTATGTGTGTGTATGTATGTATGTGTGTATGTATGTATGTATGTATGTGTGTATGTATGTGTGTATGTATGTTTAGATTAATAAAAGTTTTTTTTTGCATTTTTGTATAGACTCTATCCCTCTATAAACATGAAACATCATCATCTTCCTCCTCACCATCATCATCGCTTTCATCATCATCATCATGAACTCTCAAATAATGGATTAAAAGACAACAACATCAACATCAACAACAACAACATCATCAACAACAACAACATCATCATCAAAAACAACATCAACATCAATAGCAACATTAATTTCAAGCAATATCATATAAATAGCAACGAATTAAACTCGCGTGTTGAAAATATCTCTGCAATATGTGCGAAACAGTCAAAAAACTCATTACAAATCCAAAAACCACAACAGAAACAGCAATTTCAACAACAACAATTCCAACAACAACAATTTCAACAACAACGGCAATATACTCCGCAACAACATCAACCCCGTCGTCAACAAAATCACAACCGACAACAACTACAAAGTACCGCCCGCTCACAACAACAACATCAGCAACAACAACATCATCAGCAACAACAACAACAGCAACAACAACAACAACATTCAACAACGACAACAACGACAACATTTCTTCACAACTGCCACAACTGCCAGAAGTCATACTCTTCAAGAAGCGCTCTGAAGATGCACGAACGAACGCACAGCCTTCCATGCCGTTGCGAAATTTGTGGGAAGGCCTTCTCCCGCCCATGGCTTCTCCAGGGCCATACACGGACACACACGGGGGAACGTCCCTACACTTGCGACGTTTGTGGCCGAGCGTTTGCCGATCGAAGTAACTTACGAGCGCATGCCACCACACATTCCAGTGTTAAACTTCATCGATGTTTTGTCGCCGGCTGTGGTCGAACTTTTTCGCGCGCAGCTTTGCTTGTTAAACACAACGAAGCAAGGCATTGCAGGAAGATTGTGTGACGGATAGATAAAGGCCTGTATCATAGTACTAGATAGATACATGGATGGATACATGGATGGATATATAGATACATGGATGGATATATGGATGGATACATGGATGGTTGTATAGACGGATTATTGGATAAACAGAGGAATTGGTGGATGTATGTATGAATAAACATTTTGCTAGTTTGACTGCTGTCACTCTTACTACTACTACAACTGCTAATACTACTGCTACTGTTACTACTACTACAACTGCTACTACTACTACTATTACTGCTGCTGCTACTACTACAACTACAACTACTGCTACTACTACTACTACTACTGCTGCTACGACTACTACTACTACTGCTACTACTACAACTACTGCTGCTTCTACTATTACTACTACTACTACTGTTGCTACTACTACTACTACTACTGCTACTACTACTACAACTACAACTACAGCTGCTTCTACTACTACTACTACCTCGTTTCTTGTATCATTTTCTGCACACTATCTCAATTTATGTAAATCAATTCGAATAATGAATGCGACCAATGGCAGCGCAGGTTGCTGTGACGTCATCATCGTCGACATCATCATTACGTCATCGTTTAGCATTGAAGCGTGCATTAGTGAAGGATTTATTCGTCACATGATCATGCACCGCACCGTTCGCAGACCACAAATACAATACAATACAATACCTCGGCTGATAGAAATGTGCGATTAACTGATCATCATCATCAACAACAACATCATCATCATCATCAACAACAACAACATCGTCATCATCAACAACAACAACAACATTGTCATCATCATCATCAACAACAACAACATCGTCATCATCAACAACAACAACAACAACAACATCGTCATCATCATCATTGGCAACAACAAGATGATCATCATCATCATCAACAATATGATTGTGAGCATCGTCATCAACAACAACAACATCTGTCATCATCATCATCATAACCGTTTTAAACACAGTCATCATCATCATCAGTGTAAACATCATCATCATCCTCATCATTATTATCATTATCAACATCATCATCAGTAGTAGCAGCAGCAGCAGCGACAACGTCGTCATCGTCGTCATCGTATTCAGCATATGAGCCCGATGAAATGAAGATTATTTGCAAATTATAGAATCGATGAAAAGGAATCATCAGCGTGAATTTTTGATGAGATGACGACGAAGACGATGACGATGATGATGGTGATAATGTTCTTGCTTCCGGCGATGATGATAATGATGATAGTAATTTAGTAATGGTAGTAGTAGTAACTCTAGTAGTTGTAGTAGTAGAAGTAGTAGTAGTAGTAATAGTAGTAGTAGTTTAGTAGTAGTAGAATCAGTAGTAGCCGTGGTATCATCTTTTTGTTACTATAATGTGTGTATCAATATTTCGAAAGAGCCGTTGTTACGTAATAAAATAAAATTTTTGTGTGTGCGTGTGTGTGTGTATGTGGTGTGTGTGTATGTGGTGTGTGTGTGTGTGTTTTATGTCTAGTTATATTTTGACTCGCAAGACAATCCTATTCATTCAATGTAATTTATTTTGGACGCCAGTTATTACAACGATATTTCATTTTTTTAATTTACCAAATATTTTTAATAATAGATAGTAATTATTAACTATAATAATTTTGTTTTATTATGACGATAATTAAATTTAATTAATAAATAAATAAATAAATAATTAAATTGCTTTGCTCTATTAAGCAGATTTTTTTTCTCAAATAAAAGGTATTTGGGCGTTTGTGACTTTGTTTGAAAAATTTGCGGAAACTCTTTTCAAAAATGAAGAAATAATTACAACAAATAATTATATTATTAATAATAATAAACATTTATAATAAGTATAATAAAAACAATAATAATAATAAGAATAATAATAATAATAATAATAATAATGTGTACTACAACAACAACAACAACAACGACGACAACGATGAAGACGAAGATGATGAACATGATGATGCTGTTCTTCGCTATCTTTAATGGCACTCTGCCAGTCATCACCTCAATCCCGGTTCTCGGTTTCGGACTGGCCGCCTACCTCATCTTTCAAAACCGGAAGAAGAAACGCCATCTTGAATCGCTGGCCGCCGAAGAGGTCGAACTTCTCGAGGATGTCAAAGATATTGAATCGCGTTTTCTATGTCCGGAGTGCTATAGTGCCACGTCGCAAGAGAAGTGTGAAGAAAAAATTTCCGTCAACAACAACAACAACGACAACAACAGCAACAACAACAAAAGCAACAACAACAAAAGCAACAACAACAACAATGATATTAATGATAATAACAATAGCGTTATAAGTTTTAATGATCTAATCGCTTATTTCGCCATCAGAGGTTTTGGTGGTAACAAAAAGGGCTTCGATTGTAAGTGTACAAAAAGTGATTATGACGTCATCAATAATAAAAACAACAATGATAATTTCAATAATAATAATGATAATAATAATGATAATAATAATAATAATTATGACGTAATGTATACTGATGACGATAATGTTGACGGCGGTCTGAAAATAATCGGCGAAGTTGATGGGAAGTAAGTTCTGGATGACGTCATTTTTGTTGTTGTTGATGTTTAGTTGTTGTTGTTGATGTTTTGTTGTTGATGTTTTGTTGTTGTTGTTGTTGTTGATGTTTTGTTGTTGTTGTTGTTTTGGTTTTCGTTGACATTGCCAGGATTAATAATGTTGTTATATTAGTTACATCATCTGTAATTGTAAACATTTTTTAAAATGTGATTTTCGAAAACACAAACAAAACAACAACATCATCATCGTCATCAACAACAACCTTAAACAACAATAACAACATCATCAACAACAACATCAACAACTCAAACAACATCCACAACAACATCATCAACAACATTATCAACTACTTCAACAACAACAACATGAACTACAACAATTTCAACAACAACAACAACATCATCAACAACAACAACAACATCAACAACAACATCAACAACATCAACAACAACATCAACAACAACAACGCTGAACAAGGTACATCTATAAAAGCGACAACAACCACATGAATGCCAACACAACGGAAAATGGCGACGACGACGACGACGATGAAAATTATGATGATGATCCTCTGGAAGACTTTGCTCCTATTGGTCGCCCGCGTGCCTACGTCATCGACCATCGTGGGAATTTCCAGAAAAAACATTTTGCCACTTGCGAAAGTGAAACTAAAAAAAGTTTGAAATTCGATCGCCATGATGATGACGACGATGATGAGGAGAGTGACGAGGCAAATTCTTCGAATGTGTTGATGTGAGTAATTGCTTGTTTGTTTGTTTGCTTGTTTGTTTGTTTGCTTGTTTGCTTGTTTGTTTGTTTGCTTGTTTGTTTGTTTGCTTGTTTGTTTGTTTGTTTGTTTGCTTGTTTGTTTGTTTGTTTGTTTGCTTGTTTGTTTGTTTGTTTGCTTGCTTGTTTGTTTGTTTGTTTGTTTGTTTGTTTGTTTGTTTGTTTGTTTGTTTGTTTGCTTGTTTGTTTGTTTGTTTGTTTGTTTGTTTGCTTGTTTGTTTGTTTGTTTGTTTGCTTGTTTGTTTGTTTGTGTTCTTTCCAATTACCGTTCAAAACATTTTTTCTACTTGAAACCTCGAAAGATGTCGTACAAATTTCATTAAAATCGATTTTTGAAACAGCTACAAGAGGTCGAAAAAGCGCCACACCATCACGCCGAAACTGGCGACAACAGCAGCAGCAACAACAACAGAAACGTCACTAACAGTAAAAACATCACCACCAACAACAACATCACCAACAACAACAAAAACAACAATCATTTATGACGACAACAACAACATCATTTCTAAAACTATAGCCGACGACAATGCAGCAATAGAACTTACTCTAGCTGCAACAGCTGTCATCTCAGCTACCACAGCTGCTACCCCAGCTGCTACCCTAGCCACAAAAACAACTGATGAAAGAGTGAAGGATGAAGATTTTACTGAGATAGCTAGTAACTCGGCTAAGCAGCGAAAAGAAAGCATGAAGAATTTTATGAGATTGTCTGTTGCCAGCCAAGATTCTGCATTCAGTATGGATAGTGTTGATAGTGAGGTGTGTTATTGTTGTTGTTGCAGTTGTTGTTGTTGAGTGTTGTTGTTGGGTGTTGTTGTTATTGTTGCAGTTGTTGATGTTGTTGCAGTTGTTGTTGTCGTTACCATCAACACAAATTACCAAATTTAATTTTTCTCAGATTGTAACAGCGGACGCGGCCACAACAACCACACCCACGTGCGGCAACCACTTTGCAGTCGTCAACACAAACCCGTTGTCGTCAATGAACAACCTCAACAACATTCACCATCATGACGTCATTATCAGCAGCAGCAGCAGCAACAGCAACAACAGCAACAACTTGAACTCCAACAACCAAAATGGTAACGTTAAAAATCTCATCTTCGATTTTAAAAATCGCCGTAATTCGACTGGAAGTTTTTTAGCGAAACGCACCAGCAGTACAGCTACCACTACCAACAACAACAACAACAACAAAACTACATCAAACAACAACAACAGCAACAGCAATTCAATAACTACTAGAACATTCGATTTTCCATCGGATCTGTGCGGTAGGTTGATTGGCAAGCAGGGTCGAAACGTAGGAGTTATGAAGAAAAAATCCGGGGCGGATATATGCGTCAAGCCTAAAATTTATTCCACAGAATATCAGACTGTCTGGGTTCAAGGTCGGCCGGTTGGCCGGTTGACTGGTTGATTTGTCGATTAGTTTGCTGATTGGTTGACTGGTTGGTTGATCGGTTTGTTGATTGGTTGGTTGGCAGTTTATCTGGTTGGTCTGTCGGTTGTTTGGTTGGTAGACTTGCTGGTTGGATGGTTTGCTGTAAAAAAAATTTATCGACATGTTAAGTTACATCAGGAATCAAGTTGAACTACCAAATCTTATTCAAAAACCCACTAAATTTAAACTGTTTTCCAAAAAAATGTTTCAAGAACAGTTCGAATAAAATAATTAGAATCAAATAATAAATAAAAATCACTCGCCAGGCACGCAGCAGCAAATAACGAAGGCCATCCATCTGATAAGAAAAAAATTCACTGAGAAAAAATTCCCCAACGTGGATTATTCGCGGTGCACACCTGATGTCCCCCTACTGAGCCCCACCCTCGTACAGGTGCTTGCCATCGTCATCTATTCTCTCACAATTCCATTGCTAACTACTCTTGTCATCAATATTTTTGCTACTATTAGAAAATTTATTTCTAGAGCTGATACCTATTAAAAAAAAGATACATATTTTTGCGACTCAAAAAAATTGACCAATCAAATTGCGTCATCCAAAACGGCCCCTGTTATAAAAATATCACCCAATCAAATTACAGCTTTCAATGCCGGTAGGAGTGCCACTAGAAGTCTTGGTAACAAACGTCGTGTCAGCGAATCACATCTTCCTGCACCAGGTCAGCCATCCGACCTTCACGAACCTCAGGAAGTTGACCTTGGATATGTCAAAGTGTTATGACCTTGAGCGTGACGTGCCCGGACTTCCAAGGCCAATCGAAAGTTCGGAGAGAAATTTTTTATTTTAATCTCATTTGAATCCTTTTGTATTATGATTTGCGCTTCTATTTTGAACAGATGAATAAATTGTTTAACAACGACCACAACAACAACCTCATCATCTTCTTCGTCATCGTCATAACAACAATAACAATAAAATAACCATAACAACAACAACAGCATCATTATCATCTTATTCTTCTTCGTCATCATCATAACAACAACAACAATAAAAACCACCACCACAACAACAACAACATCATCATTTTCTTCTTCATCACCATAACAGCAACATCATCATCTTTTTCTTCACCACAACAGCAACATCATCATCTTTTTCTTCACCACAACAACAACAACATTTTCTTCTTCATCACAACAACAACAACAACATCTTCTTCATCACAACAACAACAACAACAACAACATCTTCTTCACCCCAACAGTTGGTGTGGTGTGTGTGGTGCCGCTATACGGATACTGGTACAGATGCCAGGTGGTCCAAGTCTACCCTGACGCGGACAACTGCGATGTCAAGTTGGTCGACTATGGCGGATATATTGTAGTTTCGGCTACTACCCTCAAACAAATAAGGTGAATTAAGATATGTGCGTGTGTGCGTGCGTGTGTGCGTGTGTGTGTACGCTTGTGTGTGTGATTGATTTGATCGAGTTGTTGTTGTTGTTGTTGTTGTTATTGTAATGATGATAATAATGATAATAGCAATTTTGTATAGCAATGTTGTTATATATATATATATATATATATTTACAATATTCTATAAATTCTAACGAATGAATTCGGTAGAATTTATAGAATATTGTAAAAATTATGGTCTATCATTCGGTAGAATTTATAGAATATTGTAAAAATTGTGGTCTATTACCAACATATATATATATATATATATATATATATATATATATATATATATATATATATATATATATATATATATATATATATATATATATTTTTTCCTAATCAATCCAACAGAAGCGATTTCATGAATCTGCCCTTCCAAGCCATTGAATGTTACCTGGCTAATGTCATACCTCTGAAAGGTAAACATATCTATGCAAACATACATACATGCATATATAGGACATTTCTTTACAGCTTTCTTGACTCCCCGTGATTCCATGCTGGTTATCTTCTTTGTGTATGCGTTGATCACATGTGTACGAGCAAACATTTTTAAATACATATATGTATATATGTTTTACCAGTTCCCATGGGATTCTCATGGGAACTATGAGATTTCCGTGATTCCCGTTCCCATGTTCACTTCTAATACAAAAAAACATACAAACAAACATACAAACAAGCGTACAAACAAACATACATATAAACAAGATACAAACATACAAACATGCATGTAGGCACGCATACTTACGAGCCTACATACATTCATTGATTTGTAATTATTTCTCATGAATGAGAGTGGTCGAGTTGATTTTTTAAAAGTTTGTATGTGGTTTATGCTTTTGTGTATATGTTTGTATGTTTCTGAAGAAATGTTTGTATATTTTTGTATACACGTTTGGACGTATTTGCTCTTTGCATATTTGTATGTATACCAAGCTATAATTTATTGTTCGTCTAGTTTTAATTCGTATTATTTCCACATCCATCAGACGATAATACGTTCAAACCGGAAATGAAAGAAGCGCTAGAAAAATTAGTAGGCGTGGCTGGGATGAAAGCGGAAGTGGTAAGCGTCGAAAGTGACGGCGTCCCATACGTGAATATCGAGCAAAGAACTGAAAATAAAGTTAGTTGATTGGTTGGCTGGCTGGTTTGTTTGTTGGTTGTTTTTGATTGGTTGGTTGATTGGTTTGTTGATTGGTTTGTTGGTTGGTTGGCTAGAATTGCCTGCCTATTCATTTTTATTGCCATGTATATGTGTGAACGTTTATGAAAGTATGTATGTGTGCATGTGTGTGTGTGTACGTATGTGTGTAAGTATGTGTGTACGTATGTGTGTGTGTATGTATGTGTGTATTTATCTATGTACTTATGTGTGTATGCTATGTTTGGTATGCACTTCAGATATGAAGAAATATAAATCTGTGTAGCCATTTTAAGTGTCGTTACGTATTTAATGTATTTCTCTCTCTCTCTCTCTCCCTCTCTCTCTCTCTCTCTTATTAAATAATAATAAATTTAAATATTATAATTAATAATAATAATAAATAATAATAATAATTAATAATAAATAATAATAATAATTTAATTCAGGTCTCCTCAATCAATCGGGAGATGGTTGAAAACGGCTATGCCAGATGGATTGAAATGTAACATGGCACAAACATACAAACATGCATACATACAAACATGCATACATACATACATACATACATACATACATACATACATACATACATACATACATACATACATACAAACATGCATACATACATACATACATACAAACATTTATACATGCAAACATGCACATACAAACCCACACGTAAATATACATCCACTTTTGACTCACGAGACAATACCACCGATATGTTTAATTACACGAAAAAAAATAATAATAATAACTTATAATAATAATAAAAATAAAATAATAATTATTATTTTTTATTTATTCCATTATGAACGTTTCGACTTTTTGTTGGATCTCTTCAAGCTGTTGTTAAATTTGTGATCATAGATGAACATCATCACCAACATCATCATCATCATCACCATCACCACCATCATCATCATCACCAATGATTTCAGGATCATAATCATTACTAGCAGCATTACTATCATCACCGTCGTTATCTTCGTCTTATGCCATTAAACTGTTCGTTTTTAACTTTCATTTAAATTATTAAAGTCCAAATGAATTTGTGTTTGTGTATTTGTATGTGCATTATATGTGTTTATGTGCGTGTGTATGTGTGTGTGTGTGCGTGTGTGTATGTATGTATGTGTGTACGTATGTATATAGCACTATGGTTTGGTTTCAATGTTATTTGTTTTAAAGGCGTCTTTTATTATTATTTGTTTCATAACTTGTTTCTCGTTCTTAAATTATTTCTTCGTGAATCATCATTCAATTTGGTGCTAAAATGCTTGTTATTATTATTATTTAGTGTTATTATTATTATTATTATTCTTTTTTATTATTATTATTATTCTTTTTTATTATTATTATTATTCTTTTTTATTATTATTATTATTCTTTTTTATTATTATTATTATTTATATAACGCTCTGTTCTTATTTACTAAACTATTTTTGTTTGCTTTGTATTATGTATTGTATTATGTGTATTATATTGTATTGTATCGTCTCGTTTTGGTCCGTGTGGTATCGTCTCGTTTTGGTCCTTGTGGTATCGAATCGTATCGTTATATTTTGCAAAATAATTTACTGAGAGGTATTATACTGAATTGTTAGGCGCTGTTTTATATTGGAACAAATGGTATTGCACGGTATTGTTGGGTATTGTATTGAATTGTATCGAAACGTATCGAATTGTATCGATTTGGTTTAAAAATCTCAGTTACATTAGTCAATTTGAAAAAAATAAACACACACACACACAATGTCGTATGTTTTATGTCGTATGTTTTTGTAAAGAGAGGAGAGAGAGAGAGAGAGAGAGAGAGAGAGAGAGAGAGAGAGAGATTTATTTCCTTAAGAAAAGCGCTTCTGAATCATCCTGTTGTCATTGTAACTACAATGTTTTAAATAAAATAAAAGAGCAGGTAAAATAATAATAATATACACGGATAATTTATTACTAATTATAGTTATATAATTATAAATTTTAATATATAAATATTAGAAGTAAATTAATAAAATATAAAGAAAACCACTTAGTAACAACTTTTTGTTCTAGTACCATTTCAACTGCACTTCAACTAACAATTTAACACGTTCCGATTCATTAAGTACACATGAGCGTTCGTACTTTTGTGTATGTATCTGTGTGTATGTGTGTGTATCTGTGTGTGTGTGTATGTGTGCGTGCGCGTGTGTGTGAGAGAGAAACTATATTGTGTTGGGTGTTCTAATGTTAAGACTTCTACAGCTAACAATGATCATTCATAGGCATAAGAATTAGTATTTATTATACCGTATCAATTATTATGTTCATTTTTTAAAGGAAAATACAAAATAGTGCAAAATAAAAAATTAATAGTATATTTAATAATATAATAATACTAATTATTATTATTATTATTGATATTTTGCCGTTGTGCTTCTAATTAACATATCTCAACAACATATATAGTCTTTACACTTGGTTAGTACTAGTTTATATCTCAATATATCTTGATATATACATATATATATACATATATATTATACAATGGGTGTGTATCTTGACATATATATCATGCAATGGGTGTGTATCTTGATATATATGTACATATACACATGTATATCAAACAGCGGGCACCTGTTATGTATAAAACAAAATGCGCACACTTGTGAAAGGGTCGAAGTTCACTTTTCTTAAATAATTTTATCAGTTTTCGCAAGTTAACTTTTTAGTGTTTAGTGAATTTTATATCCGGATATATATATATATATATATATATATATATATATATAATATATTTACATATATATTGTATACATTAGTATGTTAGTATAATACTATTTTTTGAATTTTGTCTTGTTTGATAGAGATAAAGTTAAAGATAGATAAAGTTAAAAACTTTTTAAATTAAAGATAAGTATGATCAATGATCTATTGTGTAAATGTATGTGTTGTATGGCAGTATTTGTGTGTGTGTTTGTAATACAAACACATATATACATGTACGTACATACATACAAACTTTGTATGCTGTATGTGTTTTAAATTGTTTGCATGTATCACACAAACATACATACATACATACATACATACATACATACATACATACATACATACATACATACATACATACATACAATTGTTGTTGATTATGAATAAAACTTTGAAAATGAAAATGAAATACATACATACATACAAGTTGCTGAAAATGTAGGCTCTATCTGATTCTATGATAATTAGATTAGATGAAAATGCCTTCTGTAAGTGCAAGAGTTGGGCTAAGAGTATGGTTGTGGTTGTCTTTGTGCTTTTTCTCATCCTAATGCTACTTTTCTTCTCTTTTGTTTTAGATTTAGTTGCCAGTCTAAAACTAAATCCGTATCATTAATAATAATAATAATAATAATTGATTAATTAATTAATCATAAAGTTAAATATTTAATTGAAAAATTGTTTTTATTCAAATTTTTACATTTTCACACGCATCAATACTTTAAATTAAAATCTGTTAATATTTTCACAATAGACAAATAAATGAAAATAAGTTACTTGAAAACTAATTGATTGTTAACTAATTAATTATAAAACAATTAAAAATGGCCATGAAGTGCGTTTTAATGAATAGTTTTATTAAAAATCTTGCTCTAAAAAACCATGACAAGTGTGCTGCCGCTATCACGAGATTCATCTCAACCCAAAAATCTGCATCATCCAAATTGTTCTTCCTGCCCGCTTCCCCATCTGCCAAACTCCTCCAACCAACAACAACAGCACTGACTGCAACTAGGTTCCAGAAAATGGATTCAAAAAACTTCTCAACTTCCGGTCCCCAGCCATCCAATCTTACTTTCAGACAGGTTCGATTGACAGGCAGATTTGCTACAATCACCTCAATTGATATTTTACTCCAACATCCAATATTTCAGATTTCATTTTCCGCCATTTTTTTATTATAAAATTCACTTTTGGTGGATCAATGGTCAGTCATCTTTCATAGTGATTATTTTATATTCCATTTCATATAATTTTACCTATTCGTGATAAAGCAGGTACACACGCACACACGTGCACACCACACGTACACGCACATATCACATACACACGCACGCACACACACAAACACAGTTACTGGACTACGCTACCTTCACTTACACGTACATCTTGGGTGACAATGCCTCGAAGAAAGCAATCATCATCGATCCAGTACTGGAGAGAGTTGAGAGAGACGCAAAGTTGTTGAAAGAACTGCAATTTGACTTAATTTATGCTCGTAAGAAGAAGAATTTATGAATAAATTGTTGTGTACACACGACACACACACACACACTTTCTCACACGACACACACACGCACACACCTACAGTAAACACGCACATGCATGCTGACCACATAACTGGCAGTGGGGAGTTAGGTAGAATCTTCCAGAACTGCAAAAGCGTCATCTCGAAGCATACGAGCGCACAGGCGCAAAAGTACATAGACGATGGTGACGTCATCGAGTTTGGAAAGTTCAAGTTAGAGTGTCTTAGCACCCCTGGACATACTGATGGTTGGAAGGATTTGTTTGTTCGTTCGTTTGTACGTTCTTACGTTTGTTTGTTCCTTCATTCATTCATTTATTCGATCTTTCCATCAGGATGTGTGTCATACTTGCTTCGTGATCATGGCTTAGTCTTCACTGGAGATGCCTTGTTTGTTAGGGGCTGTGGCAGGACTGACTTTCAACAAGGTATGTATGTAGATTTGTTTGTATGTATGTGTTTATGTATGTGTGTGTGTGTGTTTTTGTGTGCGTGTGTGTGCATGTATGTATATTACAGGCAGCCCTCAGTTGCTGTACAATTCAGTTCACAAGAAATTGTTTTCTCTACCTGATCATTTCCTCATTTATCCTGGACATGATTATAATGGTAGGTTGACGTTTAAACGTTTGTTTGTATGTTTGTTTGTATGTATGTATGTTTGTTTGTTTGTATGTATGTATGTTTGTATGTATGTATGTTTGTTTGTGTATTTCCAGATGTATGAATGTGTGTACGTTTATCCATTAATATATATTTTTTTGGACTTTATAATTTTATTTTATACAATCTTGATTTATTAATTATTATTTATTTATCTATGTTTATATTGTATCTTTTTTTGTCCTGAACAGGAAATATGTCTTCGACAGTCTGGGAGGAGAAAACGTACAACCCCCGATTAACGAAACCGTTCGAAGAGTTCAAAAAAATTATGGACAATCTCAACCTGCCAAAGCCTAAGCTGATTGGTTGCTATAATTAGTTACTCAATAATAATAGTTATGATAACAAAAGCTGGATGAATGAATGGGTGAATGAGTGAATGAATGAATGAATGAATGAATGAATGAATGAGTAAGTTCATTATTATTATTTTTATTCCTTTTGCCGTTATTATTATTATTTTTGTTATTCTTATTATTCAAAGATGTCGCGGTGCCGGGCAACATGGTTGATGGTTTGTTGGACAAGAAATAAAAAAAAGAAATGTGAGGAAAAAGAAGCGCTATATAATTTTAAAAAAATAATAATACAAATGATTATTATTAATATTATTATTAATATATTTATGTATGACTATAATTATAGAGAAAGAGGAGAGAGAGAAAGAGAGAGAAAGAGAATATGTACTTGTCTAAAAAACTTGAAGACTTCAAATTTAAAAGAATCTATAAATCTTGTTTCAATGTAGCATTCATTCATTCATCCATTCATTTATTCATTCATCCATTCATTCATTTATTTGTCATGTATGATTATGATAGTAACAATGATGATGGTGATGACGATCTTCATATCTTCAAATAATGATTGAACAAATGAATTATTGAGTGAATGAATTATTGAGTGAATGAATGAATGGGAGAATTGGTTTTTTTTTTATTTTTGGTTCGGCGTTTGATGATTAAGCAAGTTTTTTATTTGAGCGAGCTAAATTTAAATTAAATTTCAATTTTAATTCCTTGCCTGAATTTTTAAATAAATTTTTTTTTCAACAATTCATTAAGTCCGAATCTAAATACATTACATTGTTAATGAATGAATAAAAGAGTGAATGAATAAACGAATTAATGTTGAATTAATTACTCTTTGTTGGTTGCATTACTAAAACGAAAATTATTATCTTTGTAGAAATTTTAATGGTAGCTTAGATAAGAGGCCCTCGTAGTAATTATTAGTTCATCCATTCATTCATCTACCAATCCATTCATTCATCTATCTATTCAATCACTCATGCATTCATTCATTCATCCACTTGTACGTCAATCATCTTCCGGTTCATTTTCTTGCCTTCCTCTGAAACTTCATTGAGGTACTGAGTGGAGATGCGCTCGAAAAATTCGCCTTCCGTCTCCTCCTCCTTCAACCATTTCGCCACGAATAAATCATTCTTTAGTCGAATGAATGAATGCATGTGTAAATGAATGAATGAATGAAAGAATGAGTAAGTGAATGAATGAGTTAATGAATGAGAGATATTGTAATAGGCATCAATGCTATCAACTTTGTTATCAACGTCATCATGTGTGTACTCAGTTATTTGTAAATCTATCCACCAATCAGTCAAACCATCCATCCATCTATTTATCTATCAAAACATCTATTCGTTCACCGAATTCCTCCATCTATCAAATCATTCATTCATTCAGTTTTCATCCATCCGTCTATCAGGAATTTCTCCTACTAACGCTGCTCTCCTTTGGACTCTGAGACTTCACCTTCCTCTTCTCCCTTCGCATCGCTTCCAAGTTTTTTTCTCTTTTTGTCTCTCTATCAAAAAACTTTGCGAGGTGGTGATAATGATGATGCTCTGGTAATGAACACGTACAAACATACAAATACACATACAAACACACATACAAAACGCACACATACAAACACACACACGCATATAAACACACACACATACATACATACTTCTCCAAGTTCTTTTTTTTCGTTTTTTTCAGCCACCACCAAATCATCAGAAGCCCTCAGCAGCGTCGTCATCCCGTCGTCGCCGGCTACTACCAGAAACTTTCCATTCTCAAACATCTTCATACACCTGAGCGCTTGCTTCGATATCTACTCATGATACGTCGAAAGAGATATCATTATATTATCATCAATGTCAGTATCACTTTCATTACTTAGTATCATCATGTTACTATGATATCATTGCACTATCATCATCGTCATCGTCGTCACCATCACGTACGGGCATTTTGAAGACGGGCTCCTTCTGGTTGAGTAGAACGTTCCAACAGCTTATCATCCCATTGGCCATCGCAGTGTACAAGACAGAAGGGCGTGTAGGGCTCCAGCATGAAAACGTGGCGTGTGACGTAAATTCCCTGCCAACCAATCACGTTTGGGCATATCGCATTGTGAATAAATTATGTTAATGAGTTAACGGTTTTAATGAATATAGTCAAGGGTATTGATGTGACGTAAAATCTCTACCGGTCAATGACGTTTGAAGTATGGAGGTGTTAATGAATAAATTATGCTAATGAATAAATTATGCTAATGAGTTAGTGAGTAATAAATAATTTCAAAGTTTAAACTACCGGCTGCACCAGATTGAAGATTCCTTCCAATCCTCTGACCAGAACTGTGTCACGAAATTTAACAATTTTCGTCAAAATTTAAAAGAAAACTATTAAATTTTTTTTATTTCGCTAACCAAACTAAATTTGTAACTATTGGCAATAATATTCGTTCGTTCATTCATTCATTCATTCAATCACACACACAAACAAACACACACAAACACACACACAGACAGACAGGCATACAAACAACACAACAGAGGAACCAACCCTGATCTGATATGCGCTGCAACTAAGAAAGTTTTTTAAGAAGAATGGATTTCTCTGCAAGCTGTACACGGGGCTCTTCTGCACTCCAGTGTAGACTGTGGAAACCTTCTCGACGGCTGACTTTGCCTTTCTGTTGCAGATCAGGATTGAACCTTCGACACAGCCCGCCATGAATTTTGTTGGCTGAGTAAAAATAATGACGTCTGATTATCATCATTCACCGTGATCACAGCGTTATACTGTTCATCGTCATCATCATCATCACCGTCATCATCATCATCTCACGATGGTGCTTTCAAATTCGAGACACTGGGCCCCGATAGACTTGGTGGCCTCCTGCTTTCTGGTTGGGTCGAGGTACATTACTTCCGTATACTCGGTCAGCTTCCTTGTGTCCCACCATAAGACCTTTGTAGGTTATTTCGTTCGTTCATTCGTTTGTTTGTTCGTTTGTTCGTTCATTCATTCGTTCATTTAATTATTCATTCATTTATTCATTCATTCACTCAAACCTGGCCATCTAAGGACGCGGAGAAAAGTTCACATCCCGTTTTACTCTGAATCCAGACGAGTGACCTCACAACGTCCTTATGACCTTTAAGTGCATCCGAACTTTCGTAGGGGGTACCTTTGCCCCTGCAATCCCAGAGTACCACCTGGCCGTTGTACTGACCCCCCACAATCGTGTGTGGATCTTTCGGGTTGTATTCTAGGCAGGCCACTTGCGATTGCGGGCGTAGGGTCATTTCGGCGTTGTGGGGTGATTCTTAAATCATAATTTTGTTAATTTGCATTTTTACAATATTCACACACACTTACACACACACACACACACACACACACACACACACACAGTCACACACACACAGTCACACACGCACAGACACACACAGACAAACACACACACACAGCAAACCCACCAACGTCCCAAATGTAACAGTTATAGAAGTTGGAAACGAAGAAGTGATCCTGGCATTCCGGATCGGCGTAAGACACTGCAACTTTCTTGGGGCCATCAGTGAACCACGATAAACTAGAGACTGGCCTTTTGATCTCGTTCTGATCGCTGCGCACGTTTCGTAGTATTTTAATTAATTTGATATTTGATACAAAAACCGAAGCAAGCCAACCAACAAACAAATAATAATTCAACAATTCAATAACATTAAATCCAGAAAATTCTTTTTCTTACTAACTTAAAGAGGTTTATAATTTTCAAAGTCGGTTTATTCAAGTCTAAAATGCTCTCAGCTCCGCCAAAGTAGTCTTCGTATATATCGAGAGAGTTGTTCTGCCTTATATATCTTTCCATTGTCTGGTATGGCATAATTAATTGCAAGTTTGAGTGTATCTGTGTGTGTGTGTGTGTGTGTGTGTGTGAGTGTGTGTCTGTGTGTGTATGTGTTTGGGGTGTGTTAATGAATACGATGTTAAAAGCCGCACACGCCATTGAATTTAGGAGCACACGGTGAAAAAGCACAATTAATAAAAATGAGAATAAATATAATATAGATAAATAATAATTATTATTATAATAATTATAAATAATAATCATATTTAAATTGAAATATGAAATTAATTTAGCAATAATTAGGTAGAATAAATCAGAAACTTTCGAAAATAAAAATGATTGGAAAATTAAAAATACATCCACTCCACTCTGTAAAAATCTGCCATACCATCTTTCCAGCCATACGGCATCATCAACATTAACATCATTATTTGGCCTGACTTGAATGAAATTTTTCATTTTGTTATACATTTCAATTTATTGTCTCATTACAAGCTTATATATAATTATATCATTATATAATTTATTTGTTAAAATTATTTTCGTATAATTAGGCGTATTTAATTTCACTGATTTTAAAAATGTATGAAATAACAATATTAATGAACGATAAAGAACATTAAGGAGGGAGAGAGAGAGAGAGAGAGAGAGAGAGAGAGAGAGACCTAGAGAGAATAAATGGAAGGGGTATCAGAGAATCAGTGACAAAAAGGGGCAAATAAAAAAGAGAAAAATGTAACCTCGGCCAGTTTCTTAACAGTCTCGATATAGACATCATCCTTCTCAATCTTCTTGCGAAACCTGGCCACTTGATCCGGATCGTAGTAATGGACGTCTCGTGGCCAGCCGCCCTCCACATGGTTCACCGATTTCGTCTCCATTTTCCGTCTTTCCGTATTCACCTTTTAGGTAGGTAGGTAGGTAGGTAGGTAGGTAGGTAGGTAGGTAAGTAGGTAGGTAGGTAGGTAGGTAGGTAGGTAGGTAGGTAGGTAGATAGGTAGGCGAATATGTATGTGAATGTATGTGTGTATGTGAATGTGTATGTGATTTGATTAAAGTGACTTTTAAACCAATTGTGATGAGATGCTAACAAACTTCTTGCACGGACTGTTCGACCGTACATTGCACGCCCCTATCCACCGGGTCCCTATCGATGAAGGATTGGGATATCTCCGGATCCGGTTTGATGTCGCACAGGATTTTATCTTCCGAATCTTTGAATTTGTAGTGACGACCGAAGTTTGATCGTAGTCTCGTGTATACGTAAGTTATTTCCATGCTTGATTGATGGTTTGTTCGTTTGTTTGTATATTTTGTATGTAAGTGTATGTTTTGTATGTATGTGTATGTTTTGTATGCGAGTGTATGTTTTGTATGTGTGAGTGTATGTTTTGTATGTGTGTGTATGTTTTGTAGGTGTGTGTATGTATGTGTGTATGTATGTGTTTTTCTAAATAGTTGATGTTGAAGTTTTCCGAGAAGTTTCTTGCCTGAAAAAATAATCCCATTATAATAAAAAATTATTCCATTTTTAAAAAAACAATAAAATCTCACAGTACATCAGCACTTCGAACTACAGAGATACAAGTGCCCGTGTACCGAATAGTGGCTACTTAATGTTCTGCTAGAACAAGTTCACTGCTGCTCAGTGAACACTAGATCTTCAGAGTTTGAACGTGATGAATAATGGGGACAAGATATACAAGAAAACTGCTGATACTAGTAGTAGTAGTAGTAGCAGCAGCAGCAGCAGTAGTAGTAATAGTAGTAGTAGTAGTAGTAGTAGTAGCAGTAGTAGTAGTAGCAGCAGTAGTAGTAGTAGTAATATTAAGACAACAACATCATCAACAGCACATGATCACACACATGTGCACTTATAACACATGAGTTATTTATTGCTATGGTAACTAGAATGCGCCAACTGGTATAGCGCCGAACATTTTAAATCGCAATAAATTTTACATGCTAATATGAAATAAATTTTCGAAGATAAATAATTCAGAAATGATTGAATGAAAGAATGAGAAAGTGAATGAGTGCATTGATAGAATGAATAAATTGAAATTGATAAACGAACTAACAAATGTATGAATTGCTGAATGAATGAATGGATGAATTGCTGAATTAATGAATGAATGGATGAATTGCTGAATGATTGAACGTCCAAAGAAACGGACGAACAGATAAACGAATGAACAAACGAACGAACAACTGAATGTATAAATCAAATATTTGACGTAAATTTACTGCATCATAATAGCGTTTTAATAGGTAATAAGTAATGAGGAGCAGATAATAATAACGCCATTGTTTTCTTCGTCGCTCTACTAAACACACACACACAAACAAAAACACACACAACATACTACACACAAACACATGTGTTTTTCATTTATTTTTATATTCAAGCGTATAATTTCAGTCGTAAAACGTTTTGCTTTGTTTCTGATAATTTTAAAAATATTTGATTGTTTTGGGCGTTTAATTTTTTTCTTTGTTAGTTCATTCACTGGTTCATTCATTCATTTATTTGTCCATTCGTTCATTTCTTTATTTATTCATTCCTTTATCCATCCATCCATCCATCCATCCATTTGACCCCTCATGCACAAGTTACTTAGTAATTTATCGTCTCATCCACTCATCATCCACTCATCATGCATTCATCCATTCATTTTCCTATTTATTTCTTCCTTCATCTATCCATCCATCCATCAATCTATTTATAGCGAGCAACTGTTTAAGAAGGCAGAAGAGATGGTATTAAAGATATATGAATGCAATTAAATCCAACGCTCATGTTGCTAACCAAGTGTTGTAACAGGTGTTGTTGTTGTTGATGTTGCTGTTGTTGTTTTTGTTGTTGTTGTTGTTGAAGATGATGATGATGACGGCAATGTTGTTCGTGTTTTTCAAGTTTTGCCGTTGTAAAGTGACAAAAGTTGTTGTTATTATATGGAGCCATAACTCACCTTTGTTACATTTTTCTCTCTATCTTCTTCTCTTTTTCTCTCTCTCTCTTTCTTTTCTCTCTCTCTCTCTCTCTCTCCTTTTTCCTTCTCACTCTTCATATATTTCTTTTTCTTTTTCATAAACTTATAAATCAAAAAATGTCTGTTGTGACAGTTTGGGTGGCAATAACCAACATACATACATACATACATACATACATACATACATACATACATACATACATACATACATACATACATACATACATACATACATACATACATACATACATACATACATACATACATACATACATACATACATACATACATACATACATACATACATACATACATACATACATACATACATACATACATACATACATACATACATACATACATACATACATACATACATACATACATACATACATACATACATACATACACACACACATACATACATACATACATACATACATACATACATACACAGAGGCACACACATACATATACACACACACATACTTACAGACAGACAGACATACAAACACACAGACTCACACATACACTCACATTTTATGCATAAACTTTATTGTTTATGATTTTCGTCTTCATAAACTCTGCTATGTTTAGATGTTTGGCAGTATGTTTGCTCTTTTATGTTTGTGCTTATGTTTGCAACATGTACATATAAACAAACCAACAAACATACAACAAACATACAAACATACAAACAAACATACAAACGAACAAACAAACAAACACACCTTCTTATAAAATGTTTAAAAACGTACCATCTAACTTAAATTTCTGAAAAAAGGCGTGAAATTTTAATGAAACTGCACTTAGTGTATTTCTCGGTAAGTACGGGAGTACCGGAGCAAGTACCCGAGCAAGTACAATAAGAAAGACTCTCAGTACATATCAAGTGCACGCGCACTTTGAAAATTTTATTATTGTTTTCTGCTCTCTTGAAACAGTATGTATTTCTTCTTAAGCAATAAAAGAAAGCAAGTAACTGTGATTTACTTAGTTACGTAAGTGACATATTAAGTATGTTCGTTCGTTCGTTCGTTCGTTCATTCCTTTGTTTGCATGATTGTGTTTGTATGCAGTGGCGTATCTAGACAACTTTAACGAGAAAGGGCCAAAAATTTGAAAATGTTTAAATTATCTGGGAAGGGCCAGACTTGTACTAGTTCGGCGGAGGACTTTTTTGCTCACCGTGTTCAATTTTTGATCGATTTTACACACAAAAACTGATCCTATTTCTGACTTTTTTGTTTAAAAACTGCTTACAACAAGAGAGGCAGAGCCCTTCCAGACAGCCTTAGATCCAACACTGTTTGTTTGTCTGTATGTTTTTATGTATATCTGTACGTGTGTGTCTGTGTGTATGTATGTGTGTGTATGTATGTGTGTGTGTGTGTATGTGTGTGTGTGTATGTGTGTGTGTGTGTGTATGCGCCCGTTTGTTTGTTTATTTTATTAGATACGAAAGCTAAGTAATACAATATTGTGAAAATTGTCGAATTTACACAATGCTGTTGTTATCGTTACATTATTATTGTTATTGTTGTTGTTGTTATTATTATTGTTGTTGTTGTTGTTGTTGCTGTTGTTGTTATTGTTTGAGTACTGACACAATGTGACTAACATTCGATACCTATTGCTGCTTGTACAACCGACATATTGTAATGTCACTAAAACAACAACAACAACTACTACTACTACTGCTACTGCTACTACTACTACTACTACAACTACTTCTACTACTACTACTACTGCTGCTGCTGCTGCTGCGACTACTACTACTACTTTCACAAACACTAAAGAAGTTGTTAAAGCATTGGAGGATGTTTATCAGAATCGTTAGATGGTGATGGCCTATCATTTATTTTATACTTGAAGGATGATGATTGTGTTGTCGTTGATGATGATGGTTTTAGCGTTGGTGGTGATGTTATTGTCGTCGCCACTGCTGCTACTACTACCACTGCTGCTGCTGCTGCTGCTGCTGCTGCTGCTGCTGCTGATCTTGATGATGATGTTGAGGATGGCATGCATTCATACACACGCTCACAAACATTCATGCCTACACACAAACACACACACAACAAGACTAAAACATAATCGATTTATTTAACATTCATATTCAGTACACACACACACACACACACACACACACACACACACACACACACATACATACATACATACATACATACATAAATACATACATACATACATACATACATACATACATACATACATAAATACATACATACATACATACATACATACATACATACATACATACATACATACATATGTATGTATAAATATGAGTTTTAAACATTTGCAGATTCTATATTGCATGCATGTATGTCTGTGTAGGTATGTTGGTTCTATATAAGACGAAGTGTGAATGTATAAACCAATCGGAGGTTTAAAATGAATGACTGGATTTTTGGCTGATTTCGATAATTTTATCACAATAACAACCATAATAATAGTTATAATAATAATAATTATAAAAATAATAATAATAACGATAATTATAATAATGATATTGAAGAAAGTTAGAACGATTGGTAGAGTAAAACGAAGCGGTTAATAATGAATTTTATCGTTAAATAAATGTTATATTAATGACATACAACAACAACTACAACAACTACTACTACTACTACTACACAACCAAAAGCAACAACAACTACTACAACAACTACAATAATAATAATGATGATGATGAGGAGGAGGATGACGATGATGATAATGATGCAGGTGCTGATGACGATGTCAAAGTGGACTAGATTTACTGTCTTTGCAGGTTTAGTTTCATTTCTTTAGAAAGCGGTGTGTAACAAAATTTTAAGAATCAAAATCAATTCAGCCATCGTCATCACCACATCATAATTACATTCATCAACGTCATCATTATCATAACATTCATCATCATCGTCGTCGTCCTCATTCAATATCGCATTACAATATTTTGAATGTCAAATAATGATCTCTATTCAGATTAGGTACATGCGTGTGTTTGTGTGTGCGTGCGTGCGTGTGTGCGTGTGCGTGCGTGCGTGTGCGTGCGT